GGGGGGTCGAAAAGCGGACAATGATCTACGGGCCCCGACACGCACGAGAGGTGAATAGACAGCACTTTCATTCTCTCGTTTAGGCGTGGATTTCGCACACGATCCTGCAGAAGGCTTCTCACTCACGGTCACCTAAGGGAAAATGAGGAAACTTGCATGCTACCGCACCAAATTTACCATTCCGTCCTCTCGACTTCACATCACATTTTTCCTGTATCGTCACCTGCCTACGACGTACCACGCCTCCCCACAGATGACGCTTGGTATCACCCCCCTCCCCTCGCCCTCCCAGCACTATTTGAGGAATCACGTGCGGCAAGCATGCTTGCAATTCAGTGTGGTCACCTCTTGAGGCGGACGTCGTAGAACTTTCGGCAGAAGAAGTCCCGGGGCTCCGTCGTGTCGACGTCGATCTCCCCCGCTTTCTCCTTCTCCATGTAGTGCTCATGGGAGTGAACCCTCACTGGGTAGCATATCGAACCCTGATGAGTCAAACAAACGTAACGACATCGAGGGCACCGGAGAATGAATGAAACAGTCACCAGACATAAGTAAGGGGGGGCGGAAAATGAAATAAAAAAATCAGTCAAAAGCAGGCTCATCAAGAGACGTTGGACCCCTTCGGAAGGGGATCTCCAGAAATGGTGTTTTTAGAAAGTATATTGCAAATCTCGCAGAAACACTGCCCCTTCGAGATGTAGCCACAGTCGACAGATGTTTTACTTTTCGTGTGTTGGAGGACATAGAGAGGTAGAAGGCGGCACAAATAAGCAGGGCGGAGGCACGACTACGACCTTCACGGCAACGCTGAAGGCCGTCTGGGTGGCACTCACGACAGACAGGCGGTAGAACGCGTCCGACAATATGGCCAAAGGTGAACAACAGCAGAGGGCCGGGTGGGAGGCTGAAGCACGTCGCAGGCACCAAAAAAAGAAACAACAAAGGGGGGGGGGGGGGGAAAAAAGCCCTGAGAGGACGACAGCGGTGGAGGGGCGATTGCAGCCAGAAGGTTGGTACAATGACACACCAGCCTTTTCAATGCTTCAGGGTGCATGCTTCGCGCGTTGTTCTTGGCCCGCTCGGCCCCGCACGGAGTCATGCCGACGAGGCACACCCGGGAACGCGCACCGGTGCACAGCTTGGCTTCCTGTGCAACTCACCGGGTGGTTTGCGATCACATCGTTCGTTTCAAGCAGCTCGGCGTCCTTCATGTCCGGCCACCTTTCCGAGAAATGAAAAGCCGTGGCGGGGCCGTAGGAGACAGGGGGCACGCACGAGGTGTAGCGAGGAGGGGGCGAGCAAGGGAGGAATCTTTTTGTCTCGCGTTCGAATGATTTTGGGTAAGCGTACCATGTAAGACCTAGCCGTCGGTTTCATCTCACCTGATTAAGGGCGTCGCCCGCTGGTCGGCTACAGCTAGCGCCCGCACTTACGAACCTTTGGGGTCCTTACGATGGCCGCGACACCGGTGCTAGCGCAGGGGTGTCCTTAGAGCTCACACATGGTGCCCAAGTTTTGACATGTTGAGTTTTTCGATGCCTTATTAATTTCTCGACTGACTGCCAAGTTCTTACGTGTGGGTGCAAACTGTTTGCGATTGCCTCGCTTCGCGAGTCCATCATCCACCTGATTCTTCGCCGTGTATCTGCAAAAAAACAGAGGCCTGTACCATTTCCACTCCGCATCAACGCCGATATCGCCAGCAGCAAGATGGCGACACCGCCAACGCCAGCTCCAACACCAATCGTTCACGGTTCACACCAGCAGCGTTTCCAACACCACCATCGCTATCAGCGACAGCAGCATCTAAACAACCAAGCACTACATCGCCGTCGAAATCTCTACAACAGCAGTATCGTCACATTTCAAGCGGCGCACACCACCCTGTGCTATCGACACCCACCACCCATCATACCATTTACTCACCATCTCTTTGGCACGGTTTCTTCGATCTCCGCCTTGGTGTAGAGCCAACGAACCTCCACCCACTCATCGCCATGCCGGTCCTTGAAGATGTGCACGATCTCAGCCGGGTACCTTCATGGCACATACGTGATTGGATTTTCATAGGGAATGTGTGGTTTTTCCAGATCCCAACCGACAAGATAATTACCACATTTTCAAGCGAAGGAAGAACGGGCGGTGAGACCTCAAAACAGCATGAGGTACGGAGAAAACAACCCGAAATGATGTGTGTTTTTGGATGTCACAACCAGATACACGGGGAGGCGAAGGTGTGCTTGTGGGGAAACGGCCAACGATGCTGTGTTGCCAAGAACATCGGCAGGGTAGGCCCACCGGAGGAAACGGCCACAAGGTATGAAACAGTACCCTCGACATCAGCGAGTACGAGTACCAACCAACAACCAACATCACCGACACCACCATCAACAACAACAACAACAACAACAACAACAACAAAATAAAAAGAAAACCAAGGCAAACGAAAGCCGGGAGGCAACTCGTAGCAGCACGCCAGGCAAACAGGGAGAGAGGGGGGGGCCACAGCAAGAGACTCACTTTCCCGAGTCGGTCTCCAACATCGCGCAGTCTCCGCAGCGGTAGGTCTCGCTCCCACCGCCGCCGCTGCCACCCACCCTAACCTCCGTGTAGTACGTCTCCCAGGCCTCGTTCGTCCAGGTCTTCCTCAGCATGCTCACCTTCCTCTCGCCGTGGCCATCTTCATCGCTGTCGTCGCTATCGTCCTCCTCTTCGTACTCCGTCTGCCCCTTAGTCTTGCCGTCGCCCTTCTCCCTGCCCGCGGCGACCACCGACCGCCGGCCGACTGGAGAACCAGCATCAGGGCCCGAACCGGCACCAGTAGAGCCGCCGCAAGGCGAACCTGAGCGTCCGGGCCGCCCTGCCCGTCTCAAACACGGGGAGGCTTTTACTGGTGTCGACGTCTCCGGAGGCATCTTGCACAATATTGCCGTGGGCAGAAGGGGTGTCGCAGTTGAAGGTCTTGACCACGGGGTGGGTGGGCTTGGATTTGTTTGCGGTTCCGGGCCTCTCTGCGGTGGCAAAGGGTGTGTGTGGCGACGTTGGGGTCGTCGTTAGGTGCTCTAAACTACTGGCACACGGGGAAGGGGTGGGGAGTTGCGTGTTCTTCGCCCCTTGGTAAGAGGAAAGGAAAGAAAGTCAAGCCGACAGACCAAATGGAAGGGACGCGTGCGTGGCGGTGGGGGGGGGCTCCTGGTATATTCTCTTACGGCAGAATCAAAAGAATTGGTGATTATTGCCTGTTATTGGTCATGCTATCCACTCCACGAGATTATGAAGCGTTCGTACTTGATGACATCGACCATACAGTAGGCAAGCGCAACAGCGCCTTGTGTCTACATGGCACATGGTGGTGAAAACGCTGTGGTCTGGATACTACACTATTCACGCCTTCGGAAGTCACCTGTTCGAAGTGACGGGCTGTCGAAAAGTACCCATTGACACAAAAGCTATTTGGCCACAAAAGCACTCAAGAGTATGTGAGCATGACCGCGAAAACAGGGTGCTGCGTTAGGATGTCGACAACACCACGCTGATTGGCCACGACATTATTAGTCAGATTGGGTTTCGAGATTAGCGTACTATAGATAGGACGTCGAGAAATCTGGGGGAGGATAGCATCTACCGTAGAATAGTGCGTTCCTTCTCTAACTGAAGAGCGCCTTCTTCGGGCCACAAAATAAGCAACGCCCCGCATATGGTGTTCCGTGGTATTGAAATGCAGCAGTGGGGGGATGTCAATAGCGCCGGTTGAACAGCGCTGTATCGCGCCGGTGAAGTTGCTTTGCACAGACTGAATCACCAACTCATTCAAAACATTGAACAGCGCCGGTCACCCTGGATAGCGCCGGTCGATGCGCCGGACACGTACTGGCGTTGTTGAGGGCACTCCACTGCCGTATCTCGTGCCTCATTAACCTCCCGTGAGATACACAAGATACCATACCCCCTGGACCGACATCAAAGTTTGATTACCTTACAGTAGAAGTAGCGGTACTGAAAATTGCGGCATTGGAACCGTCTTGACGATATTTTTCTGAAGATACCACTCGATTTCGGCAACCTCTTCGTCCTGGAGTAGTCGAGCTTTGAAAACCAACAGGGGGTGTGATATCTTGAGTCACCTATGCTGTCTGGACTACAAGACAGTTGGCATTTGCAGGTAAGATCCTCTGATGCTGAAGTTGCCTGACTCGGCTCACTCGCCGCATCTGTATTGTCTACTGTTTCTGGTGTGCGAGAAAGCACCGTGAATGCAACTGACCGCGACGACTTCCTATCATACGCTCGCTGACACGTCTGGCGAAAGAGAGGCGGGAGAACAGGACGAAATTTGAATTTTTGCAGTTGCCCGGTTTGAAGAGACGGTTGACACAACAAAAGTGATGTTGGTACAAGAGTTGATCATCCCTCCCCCGCCATCCTCTATGTTTCTACATTATGTACCGTGCTGCCACTTTCTCCCGAAGCTGTGCATCTCTTGGTGCGGACAACTGCTGCAAAGTCCGGCATAGGCTGGCACTGCTGCTGCTGCTGCCGATGTTGATGCTACACATCTTCAATCCTCATGCGCCGCACACAAACATGAGTTGTAAAAACGCCATTATCCATTGGTCCTGCCATGTCTCCACATACCTTCAGATCGCAGCAATGACCTGCTGTTGAGGCTTGCCCCACTCAACGTTACTGTCGTCGCGAGCTTCAGCTGCAGAATAGGTGAGGTCTTTTAGCGTCATTAGCGCGGGAGCGGCACGGCGGAATTTTTCTCTACGCAGAATTGCTGCGGAGTTCGAAACCCCGTGGATGTATACGTGGGGGGATAGGGGTGACCCTGCGGTGTGCTTTGTTTCGTGCCCCTACACTGGTCCTCTTTGCCCTGTTTGCTCCGTTACTCCCATGCCCTGGTGCGCAGTGCCTGGTGCTGGTACGTTACGTTACCCTTTCATTTTTTCTTTCGGCGGGTGTGGGAAGCGTCCTCCTTTATTTATTTTTTTTGTTTTTTTTGTTTTGTTTTATTTTGATCGGTGTCCGAGGGCTCTTTTCTCGAACAGTAGGTGCGATACCTGTTCTTTTCTTTCTTTCGATCATTTTGTTTTCTTTTTCCGAGTGGTTTGTATCCTATTTTTGTTTTTTGTTTTCTCGCGGCGTCGTATGTGCCGGGTTTTGAGACCACGGGCTCCCCATTTTTTGTGGACTATAGAGCTAATGTGAGAAACAACAACAACAACAACAACAACTGGTCAACCGGTCGCCCCTGTTTGTTGTTGTTGTTGTTTCTCACATTAGCTCTAAAAAAAGAAAGATTGGGAGCCCGTGGTCTCAAAACCCGGCATACACGACCCCACGAAGAAACAGAAAAAAATAGGGTACAAAAACCACTCGGAAGAGAAACAAAATGATAGAAAGAAAGACCAGCTACCGCACCAAACGAGAAAGAGCGTCGAGGAGACCGATCAAAATAAAATAAAAGGAGAACGGGGAACGCTTCCCACACCCGCCTACAACGCCGGAGGGTTCCGTGCCGGGTTCCCGCCGACCAGGCATCCCCCGCCCTGCACCACCCCCCAGGGGGTGCAGCAAGACGGGGGGCGAAAAACAAACACATATATATTCCCACAAAAAAAATAAAAAATCGAAGGACAACGTACACCAGTACCAGGTACTACAGCAGTGCAGTATGCACCAGCGCATTAGTGTAGGGTAGGCACCGCACCAAAGAGGCAGCAGAGGTGGCAGGCAGCCAGCAAAGGAAAAAACAAAAATAACAAGGAGCTCGAGGTATCGTCCAAGATCATCGTAGAGAGGGCATGGAGAACAAGAAAGAAAGAAAGAAGAAAAGCACAAAGAGAGGCCGGAGGCAATACTAAGAGCATACAGCTTACGGCAGGGAAAAATAAACACAGGGTGCGACAACATCATCAGTTGGGTACGTCGTTCGCCGCAAGCGCGGCCTTGGCCNGCAGACTGCTTGTGGCCCTGGAGATATTTTGGGCTGAAGAAGACACAAGAACAACGGCGTACTGCTGTACCTCTACGCTATGTCTTCATCGTGGTAGTACTTTTTGGTCGCCCCGGTGGTCTAGTGGTATCCTCGTAATCCGCTAGTCGCAGAGGTCGTGAGTTCGAATCCCCATGGGGTGAAAAATTTACGACATTTTATTAGGAGAAACGAATATACACACAGAAAGACTACCCGTGAAAGCGAAATATTGCTTGAAAGCTCTCGTGAGTACCAAACTTCGACGTTAGCACCGTTGACGAGGGAAAGGGACGGTTGGACCTTTCTCGCGATAAAAATAAACATTCAGCACGCACCGCAGGAGGAAGGTGGGGCATGAAAAGAAACATAAAGAAGAAAAAAGCCCTGGTGTTTACCCCCTCCTGTGTGACCCTGGATGGTTGTAGTTGTACGAAAAAATACACTGAAAAGTGTAGTACACGTCTCACCACGAAAAATGGGGGGACTGCTGTCGCCATAATAAATAGGACGAAAACACACACAACACACTGCTGGTCTCAAGTGGGGCCTCTGGTTGGTCAGGTAGCCTAACGACATCCTGATAACATGCAGGATATACTTCCGTTTTCTTTTGTTTCAATCTTCATGCCACGGTGGCGAATTGTAGCTAGGGGCATAACTGCAGCAGTACAGAGCCACCAGTCGCCCCGGTGGTCTAGTGGGTAACCACCCTATCTGGTAAGGGCCTGGGCATGGCTTCGGGTCCGGGCAGGTTGAGTTTTTTTTCTCACCAAATAAATCCTGGTCTAGGATGAAAGCGACGCGCTGCAAAGCTCGTTATTAGTAAACCATACTCGACTTTGTAAGTTGCGAGGGAAGGGATTGCTGTACCCTTCTCGCGATAAAAATACTGCTGTACCCTTTCGCGATAAAAATACCTCAGGCAGGAACCGCAGTAGGGGGTCCAGCCCCCCCCTCCTATGTGACCCCGGTTGGGTCGTCTAGCTAGTAGAAGTGGAGGATAGGGGCCAGAGGGGCAGGCGACAGTCCAATGATGGGAGAAAAAAACAAACAAAAAGAGAGTACGGGGTCGGGCGGGCAGCGGGTGGTGGGTGCGTCCTCGTGTCCTCATGCATCAACACCGTTTTTCTATCTGTTCAGGCTTCAATGGGAGGATAATAAAGTGACGTCATTGCGCTGGTTTTGGATGCACGCGCGGCGAGCTTCTGCAATCCTACCCGCATCGTGTGGCAACCCATGAAACGCGCACCATCAAACTCAACGCGTTGTTGGATACTTCAAGTGCCGGAGGTACATATGCGTACGTACTGCTGCTGTAGATTTGAGCAGATGAAGTTATGTACGTATGTAGTCTGAAGTCGCAACTACCACCCGTCGTGGATACAAAGTACCCTGCGGTAAGCACGGCAATTGTGAGCTCTGTGTGTGACGAGGGGAACCGGGCAGAACGATCGTGCTCCGCACAAACACGTAGAAAAAGGCACTCCTACTGCTGTAGCGTTCTTTGTCGCACACGGACTTCGCTTAGTGGGTGCACTGCTGCTGTCGACCCACAGGAATCCTTCAAAACGCCTCACATGCGTCGCCACACGAAATGTCGCTAAAAGAACGGTCGCCAAGCAAAACGCCTGGAACACGCAGTTCTTGCATAGTTCACGTCACTTCTCATCATGTAACACGTCAAACCCAGCCACCTGGCGTTTTATTCCTTCTGCCAAATAAATTCGCTCGCTTTCGTGTTCCAAAAGCGTCTCCAACACTCGTCTAGGCTGCCCTGTTGACGTAAACCTCGTGGCCCTTGACCCAATACTAATCGGTGATAAATGTGCCTGAAACGAGAGGGAAAAACTGTCGCTTTCCACTGAAGCTGTGCAGCAAACCCCACGTGACGCAAACAAATCTACACCACCAACACAAGCTACATGACATCGGATG